AGGATGGATACACTTCAGGCCATACAATGACTACACTTCCAGCTAAAAGTGTCCCTTAAGAGGACCAACTTTATCGCCAGGAGGGAGGTATTCCCCACAGGCACTTCAAAAACTATTTTGACACAGAATTCAACCATAAATTTCAAGAAACAGGCACTACATGCATTCTTTGGGCAGAGTTAACACAGGCTGAGCTAACTCTGCACAGGTGCTCTGTGCAGAAGGAACAGGGCACTGTGATTACGAGTCACACCATGAGCGAGGGGATGTGTCCATTACCAACTGCTGTAGGCACCAACACGCATCCACCACCCAAATGCGACACAGCAGCATTCACATTTTACATTAAGTACTTGGCTTCTAGAAATGTCAGATTTTTTTTTCCAAGGATGAGTAGAGGGAGAAGGAAACTGATTATGAATGCTATGATTATGACTGCTAATCAGTTAGCTTTTTCTTTTCCTAATTGCTTGCAGAAAGAATGTGGTTTCCAGACCAGCTGATAGTGTCTGGTTGAATGATGAAGCCAACGTGACTTGTGTAGTTTGCAACCTATTCTACAACTTTTAAGGATTTTTTTTTCCTAAGAGTATTCATCACTTACCCGTATATACAGGAAACATCTATCACTACATCAATCATGTCACAGCACAACTCATACGACTGCATGTCCACAGGGGAACTGTCTGTTGCGATGTAGATTTTGCTGACTACATCGAAGAGAAAAGCTTTTTCAATGCCTGAATTCTTCAGAAAGAGAAAGACTTTTTAAGAAAACTGTATTTCATCTTCAGAAGAAGTCATATAGTTTCACATTCTTAAAGCAGGTAATGGTTTAAACATAACCAATTTAGACGTTTAAAACGGCAAAGTGTACAGTTTATAGGTACAGTACCCTAGTTGCTGTAGAGCATACTAACATCACATTCCAATTGACAAAATAAAACTTGAGATTGGTTAGAATTCTTTTAGTTTATAAGCTACCAGACCATAATTCATGTTACTTTTTACTATACTTCAAGGCCCAAACTTAGAAGTTGTCACCTTTTGTGAATCTATTAAAACAGAGGAGGTATATGTTCACATTCACCTGCTGGAATAATCCTGGAGGTGAGTTATTTTAAGTAGTAAAACTTATTAAGTGTCAACACATACTTTCTATATGAGGCAGCTGCTATACAACTCGACATGCAGAGCAAATAAAGTCACCTTCTAATCTTACAGCTTCAGAACAGCATCACAGTATGGCAGTAATGAATAAGGAAAGCACCAAAACAATTGTATTTTCCTACTTGTATCTGAGCACTTGGACACAGTCCACGTGCTCATAATGACTGCAGAAGCCTTCTGCTCTTCAGTGAGTTGTCACACACCAGTTACCAACAGGGTTTTCTGGCAAAGCTTCGTTGCAGTTTATACACCAGGAACTTTTCCTTCCACCTGCCCAGCTGGCACAGCCAAGGCAATGCCTTGGAGACATCCAGCTCATCCTTTGGCATCAGGGTGCACTTGATTCCCTACTGTTCTGCTCTTCAGCCCCGTGAACGTGCCCGTTACCTGCTGAGCTGCATTACTGGGCTCCTCTCCCAACAGAAAACAAGCAGCAGAGCAGCCCAGCGTGAGGCTTCTGCCCCACACTGCAAGAAAAAGGGCAAATGGTTCTCAGGCTGCATGAAAGCAACACTTTAGTTTAAGGCCAAATTTAACTTAGGAAAAAAAGCCTTTTGCCAGCACAGCCACATTGCATAAATAACTGCATTAATGGACTAATTAGTATACTGTGCTGGCAGAAACCTGCTGCATCAACTGTTCTAACTAAACTCTGCTTGGTCAGTGTTTTGAGAAACCTGGTAAATCATGCATAGGTACCTGATAAAGACCTTCAGATGCAGACAACAGTGCCAGCAGAAAACACCAACATCAGGGTGGCATCTGAATCTCCCGCACACAGCTCGAGCCGATGCTCCCTATCAAAGTGATCTGTCCTACTGTTCCAAAGGTTTTGCTTAGAATTCTCTTAGATTAGTTAGCTTAACACTTACTGATATAAAGATATTTAGTAGATTTTCCAGTGTTGGCAGTTGCGGAATTAACTTCTGTACCACTTTACTGAAGGCTTCAAATATTGAATGGTCATAGATACTGGTCAAATAAAAGCTGGGATGAGCAGGGAGGGAGGAAAAAAAAAAAAGCAAAAATATTCAAATACAGAATTAGAGTTGAAATAGAGGTGTTAAAGCTGTGTAATATAACACTCAAAGTTTGATGTTTTAACCAGAATCCATTATCACAAGTGCATTTTGCTGCTGCTACATCAAGAACCCCTTTGCTGAATGAAACAGATTCTCCCCTCTCCATGAAATGGGAGAAGTGAGAGAAATTTGAGCACATTTTCAAACCAGACTTTGCCTACAGAATGCTTAACGCAGTTAACTAGATCTCTTAAAATGCTGTCCTGGCCTCTCAGCATTGAAATACTGGCAATACCTTAGCACTCTATGAGATGACAGACAACAGTAAAGAGAGAGAGATACATTGTTTTAAACTTATCTCTACAAAATTTCTTAAGCTATGAACCAAATATCTGGTGAGAGACTAAGCACTTAAAAACAATCACACTGAAAAGTCAGTGCTAGTCAGTGCTAGAACAGAGAAGCAGCTCCTGTCTCCCTTCCTTGCCTCTCTAGGCCATATGCACAATTTTAGCCTGTTAATCTGCATGAAAACAAGACAAAATGGACCTTGAATTACCAGTGAGTTTATGAACAAGTCTGTTGATTAGAATTCGATGTACTAGCTTACCTTATTTTAGTCAGACTCAGCCAATGTACTCAGCCAATGGGATGTATTTTATAACAAAAGTCTGCACAATTTTAAGAAACTAACAAAACCTTGTTCCAACCCACTATTAAAACTAAGTGCTATTAATCTGTACATGTATCCGCAATGGTAAGATCACATATGCCAGAATGTCTCACTCACCTAAGGTGAAGTTTTTCAAGTCCAGCATCTGTAAGGTCATCATTGGCCCTTTGATGAATATCCCTCTGAGTTTCTATTTTGTGGTCATCTGATAAACCATCAACTTTATGAATAAAAACTTCAAAGTTCATTTCTGGATTGACCTTGTAGGCTTTAGAAACCGTGGTGTGGAGTTTTGTTAAAGCTTCCATGTAGTCATCCTGTAAATCAGTTTTGGCAGGAATTAATAAAATGGCTTAGCTACAATAACTATTCTATTCTGCACAAGGATAAAATAATTCGGTATTTGAACTTGATTTTACTTTCATTCCTAAAGAGAAACATGGATTTGGAGAATCAGAAACCCAAGTAACAAGTTTTAGGTTGAGTTCTGTAATGTAAGTGTCATTAGCTACATAAGGCTCAGCTGTACAAACCAGGCCCCAGGGCTTCACAGTGCAAAATGAATTTCCACAGGGTGTTAGGAAGCTTTTCTTACATGTAGCTACACTTCAACTCCAGCAGAATGTGGCGTCAAGACAGTCCCAATAGCCAGGTACCCTCAGAGTTCCCTCCTGGGTTCATTAGGAGCTGCCAGATATCTAATGAGACCAGATACCCAGTGATGCCAGAGACTGAGGTCAGCAGTGAGCTGTTATTAAATTAATTCTGTAGTAGTCAATGGAAGAGGGAGGGGATTATTCAGACTACTCAGTAGAGCAGGTTCTCCCTACTCAGCAGACTCTGGGCTTTGGAGAACTTACCCTTTTCCACACTCTCCCTTGGGAGTGTGTCCTACCTGGTCAATCCACAAAATTAGACAACACGTCAAATTCAAAAACAGCCACTCATACACAAGAGATGCTGTAAGAACTTACCTAAAAATTTAAATTATTATTTTCCTGATCAGTCCTCACACACACAGTGCCACAAGAAAACTTTGGTGTTGTTAGTGACTTGTACTTACCTGGGCATCGATAACATATATTAGAGCACCTGTTCCTCTGAAGATCATCTCATAATCAAACGTTGGATCAAAAAAGTCCATCTGTCCAGGAAAATCCCATATTTGGAAATTCACAAATGAACTGTTGGAAATATCATCTTTGTAGATCTTGTTGGTACTTTCCAAGAATAGAGTCTCGTTGGGAGACATTTTATGGAATACCACCTGTTAAAAGAACACTAATTATAATCCTAACTTAGAAAAGATCATCGATAAAAGCTCTGTGAATTCAATCTCACAAGAAGCTTTGTCCATTTTGAAGTGTACAGCTTTATCCTACACATATTTATTCCTTCTGTGTTAGTGAAGAGACAGCTTCTTGCATCAGTAAATTATACACAGGTGACCAGAACTACACAACTGAATTCAGTTAAACATATTTACAGGTCTGAATAAAGCTATCAACTGAAAACAAAGACAAACCACTGACTGTTTTGTTTTTTCCCTTATAAATCTAACAGTATTTTCTTTGCTACCATCAGGTATAAACAGCCAACTACCATGAGGTATAAATCTCTGTCAAGCAGTTAAGAACAATTCCTTTCGAGTCCTGGGAATTTCTTCTTAGTATTGCTTTTAGTCTAGTATTGAGTACCGCGGTACAACACAATCAAACTGCTCCTGAACTGCAATAAAGGTATACAAAAATAACATTTCAGTTCTAGATATGCTAATAGCTGCTGCCAAATGAATTATTTCTGTTGACACTCTCCTTTCAAGCATCCTAAACAGAAGATTAAAGTTTACAAGCTAGTCAATAAATAGTTACGCTGCAGTGATGATAAATGTACTAATTGCTAGTATGCAGAAACCTCAGTGGGATTTTAGCTCTTTCCTGAAGAAAAAAAAGGCAAGCAAGTATCTGCACAGCAGAACAGCCTGTAATTCAAGCACTCTTAAACAGCAAACATTATTTTAAAGAGACCAAAGGGCATATTATAAAAGTCATCCCAACTTGTGAATTC